AAATGAAGAAAAGATGCAGCTGCAGCGAAAAAGGGAGGGAAGAAAGGAAATAGGATGTAAATGGTGAAAAATAACCAAAAAGTGGGGTGTATGCTCGACAAGTAAATGATGAAAACTGGCAATGAATGGCAGTGTGTTGCCGACAGGCCGGCGCTGTACGTCACTATCTTCCTACTACACGGTCCGTGTCGAAGGCCTTCACACAGTTGCCCGCTGAATGCTATCAGCCCTGGTCGATGATCGGCTGTTGATCGACTGATTGCGTGCTTGATGAAGTTGGTCGATTAAGTTGATTGCTTCTTTCGTTGATTGATTAGTTGATTAATTAGTTGATTGATTAGTTGATTAATTAGTTGATTGATTAGTTGATTGATTGAATGCGGCCTTGATTAGTTTTCCTTAAATTGTCTGGGTGATGATGCGGTCGTGACGATTGTTTTCTTGATTGGTTGACCGACATTTTCATTGTGAGAACTGCTGGCGTCCATATCACACGTGGCGAGTTCCCGCTCCACGTGCTACCGTCTTCACCCGAATAGAACGCCCGGTCATTATAGCTGTATTTGGGGTATCTATCAGTCTAAATACGGCAATAATGACCGTACGTTGTATATTCGGGTGAAGAAGGTGCTCACATGTTCATTCTCCGGAGTGTATCCGCACTGGAGTGCATATCGCACACCTTACAAGTTATTATTCGACGTGTCGATATCATCCCCCCCCCTCCCTCCATTCTGAGAATCTTCTGAGCAGCGCCGTCTGTATGACACTTGGCGGCAAGTTGCCGTTCTGCGTGTCACTGAGTAACAGCTTGCATTTTGGGCGATTTTGAGTCCAGATGCAGAGAAACTAACTTCTGATTACAGTGATGTTCATCTGACTGACGCTTGGCAAGTTGCCGCCTTTACCTTCCAACACTACCGTCTTTACCCGAATAGAACGCCCAGTCATTATAGCTGTATTTGGGGCGATTTTCAGTCCAGATGCACCAGCCATAAACACTACCGTCTTTACCCGAATAGAACGCCCAGTCATTATAGCTGTATTTGGGGCGATTTTCAGTCCAGATGCACCAGCCATAAACACTACTGTCTTTACCCG